CAGGATAAGCCACAAACTTAAATTCCAATGCACAAGTCACAGTAAAGAGAAAATCTTGGTCAATGGCCAAAATGGGGAAAAATAATTCGCAAGCAACTTCAGTTTTAACTCCTATTCCCAATACTAATGAAAAATGTATTCATGCCTTTAGAAATAAAATGTCCTGGCCTAGTAGCAGTGATATAGCAGTAGCACAGTGCTCTACAGTGCTGGAAGTTGTGTGGAATATGAGGGTTTGGTTCCTGAGTCAACCTGTACATGCCAGGCACAACGGGCGCCTGTGATCCTGACTGGCTAGGAGGGCTGGGGGGAGGATTGTAGCATGAGACCCTGTTGAGGATGCTATCTTTCTCTCTCTCTCTTTTCCTCTCTCTCTCTCTATCATGAAAGAAATGAATGAATAAACTTTGAAAATCAAAAATAACATTTTCTGAGCATCTGAGCAATAGACACTGTGATCTGCACAAGCAGGGTCATGCCCTCAAAGAGTTTATGGATAGTGGAAAGCACAGGACAAGTTAGAGTGAAAGTCATGATGAGGCAAGAAAAGAGCTGAAGCCCACATAATGACCAGGTGTAAGGAGAGAGGCAAGCAGATAAATAACCAACACACAGGGAAATCATGGGCAGGAGCTGGAGGCAAGAGAAATCTTATCCACTGGAGGAACAGAAAGAGGTTTGTCAAAAGCAGTGGGGAGTGACAAGAGTTGATACTGGAGAGATAAACAGAAAACAGGTCAAGAAGAGTGGGCTGAGTGACTCTGAAGGGAACGGGAAACCATCAAAAAGTTTTAAAGAGGAAAGTCATAAATATATTTCACAAAACTCATTCTGACTGCACTGTGGAGAAAGAATTGGAGACCAAGTAAAGTGTCTAGGCAAATGAAAAATGATGAGTTGAGTAATGGCAAGTGAAAAATGATGAACAGAGTAATGGGGATGGGAGACATGAATACATTTAAGAGCTACTTAGATGTTATTATAGATTAAACTAGACTTCACAGATGAGCATAGTCATTAATATTCAGACTCCTTGGGTTCAAATCCTGGCTCTACCACTTAAGAGGAAAGTTACTTAATTTTTTTGCACCTTAATTTCTCTTTCTCTAAAGTAGAAACAGGAACAATTAGTTCACAAAGTACTTAGAAGACTTACTGACACAATATTAAACACTAATATACATAATACGTGTGTGTGTGTGTGTGTGTGTGTGTGTAATTATTATAAGTGTAATAGCTCAAAAGTAGGAACAACTCAATTGTTCATAAATTGTAGAATAAGATGTGAGGAGACATAGGGAGGAAATTGTCAAGGATTTTGGCTTAAATAAATGGATGGATAATAATAACCATTCCAGTTATCAATTTATCACTTCTCAGCTCCAAATCTACTTTTCAATGCATGCTGATATCATGGAGATGGATCCAGTAAGCATTTCTCCTTCACAGCAGACACAGTTTTATGCTGTCAGTAGAAAGCTCTAGAAGGCCACTGCACAAGAAGGGACTTCTCTTCCTGGCTCAAGTGCACTTCCATAGCCTCCTTGTGCTCTTCACCTGGCTGCCAACAGCGCACCTGGGGAATATCCAGTGGTGCTTACTGCCAATAACTTTCCTAGGAATCTCAGAGGTATCCTAGAAGTTGTCTGTTCAGCCTTGACCTACCTGCTCCTCAGAGGAGTTTGCTCTTTGTGATTATGGACAAGCTCTAGCCTGGGGCAACCCAGCAAACTTGCCATCCACACCTTCAATTTGGTCTGAATCCCAGTCAATTTGTTCTTCCTTTGGATACACTCCTTTTAGCCCTAGCATGTTCTTTACCATCAAACCCCTGTTATAATTAATTCTATATATTAATCATTTTCTATTCAAATTACTATATTTTTTTTGTCTCTTTATTAAATCCTGAGAAATACAGTACTATTTATTTCAAAGGGAAACATAGGAAGAGGAAACAAGTATTAAAAAGATAAATTCTATTTTGGACATCCTGAACTTGAGATGTTTGTGGGACATCCAAATAGCTCTCTCTGGTAGGAAGCTCAGAACTTGAAGTATCTACAGCTCAGGAGAAGTGTCCAGGCTGGAGAAATAGGCTTAGAAGTGAATAGTTTTAAGACCTTTAAAATCTTAGCAAATGAAGCATGGGTTTAAATGCCATAAGTCAGGGAGATAGACTTTAGATTTTTTTTTCATATGTTTATGTGTCTCATCAAGACACCCTAAACAAATTAATCGGTAGATGTGTGTACAGAACATTGCAACAAAAGATTTATGGTGATTTCACACTGTGCATGTGAGGTAATATTGTTCAGTACCTGTTTATCTATTCAAAGCTAAGTGAAGATATGGTTGAAAAGACCTAAGCCCTGTATTAACAAGATAAGTCAAATTCAGCAGTCCCCAAAATTTTTGCACTAGGGACTGGTTTCATGCAAGACAATTTTTCCATGGACTGGGGGGAATATAGGGAGTTGTTACAGGATAATTTAAGTGTATTACATTTATTGTGTGCTTTATTTCTATTATCATTACATTGTAATATATGAGAAATAATTATACAACTCACCATAATGCAGTACTTGCAGACACTCCCCAGTGCTAGCATCACTGCCTCAGCTCCATCTCAGATTATCAGACATTAGATTCTCATAAGGAAAACCAACCTAGATTCCTCACATGTAAAGGTCACATTAAGGTTCATGGTCTGTAAGAATCTAATGCCTTTGCTGACCTGACAGAAGGCAGATCTCAGGCAGGAAAAAAAAATAACTGTAAAAACAGATGAAGCTTCTACCCCTGGCCTGTCACTTACCTCCTGCTGTGCAGCCCTGTTCCCATGCCCTGGTCTAATTACACTGCAAACTTGGAAGCCTAACTTGGAAGAGGCAGGGAAGCAATTAAGTCACATAGGCACTACTCTGGATGCTGCTGGAATCTGAGAACCTTGGACTGGTTGCCAGCTCTCCAAGCAGCAGCACTGAAAACTGGAGAGCTGCTTAAGTTTCATGTTATTCGAAAATGATAACTAGATACAAATATATTTTGAAAAAGACCCAAGCTGATCCCTTCCATTTTTCCCAGGGTGTGAGCTCAGTCAACAAAATTTACCTCTTGCTTCACCCATTTCTCAAAAGTTTGTATCTACTGTCCAAAATGAGAAAAAAGAAAGAAAGAAAGGAAGGAAGTTCCATCAGCAGTTTACAAGGGAACAATTTGGAAGAGAAATGTATTAAATCCTCAGGGAAATTAAACTCAAATAATACAATAACAGCATTACAAAATTAACAGTAGACTATGAATTGAATTAATTGCCTCCTACTGTGGGAATTCTTGGCTACCACAGACCGAAACAAATAAAACCAATGATATCAATGACCTTCTGAGAAGCTGCAGGCAACTGTGATGTTGAGACATCACAAGACTTTACCCATTGTTGTGTTTCAACTTTCTCTGGAGACCTTTAATACAGAGAAAGGTCTTTACTTCTTTCATCTCATACCTCAAATGATATATGGTAGGTTGGTGAGAGAAACCAAAGGTGGCACGATTCTAGATCCAAAGGTGCAATTTTATGACTTCCTTTTTAAAAATCTTACCACTAAGTGTCTGTGCTTAGAAGTAGCTGAAGTGTTAGGAATCCATGCAAGGTCTCTTTCTCTTGAGAGGGTTGAAGAGACTGATGGGAAACAAGTAATGATTTCTCTAGCACCTAGGCAGTCTAGTGATAAAGCAGCTCTTAAAAAATACATGTCTACTGCTTCAAAAGAAACTCACTTTGGGAACCAGCAGTTAGCGTAATGGATATGTCGCTGGACTCCCACGTAGTTGACCGCGGTTCACGTCCTGGACCCGGTGGCTTAAAACTCACACTGGGCGCGTGTGCGTGCGTGCCCAAGATCCTGAGAGGAGAATGGAGGAGAAGGGATTGCGGCATGACCATCCCCTCTGGGGGGTGATTTCTCGCTTTCTGTCTCTATGTCTCTCTCTCTCTCTGTCTGGCGAGCGCATGCGCCCTATAGTGAAAAAACCTCTCCAAAAAAAAAGAAAAGAAAAGAAAGAAAGAAAAGAAAATCATCTTGACATTTTAGTAGCTACATTTATGTCTGTAAATTCTTTCTGAATGCCATGATGTCAGTGTGTCTGGGGCAAAACTATATTACCACAGGAGCAACAGAGCTGGTATGTGTGTGGCTTAATCATCCCTCTATTAGGGTTCTTAAAGACTCTGAGGAGAAAGGTAAGTTGTAGCAGCATGATAGAAATAAAATCCTGGTGATTCATGCAGTTTTGCCAAATAAGAACCACAGGGCAAATATGAAGGGCTTTGAGTGCCTCCAGCTTCTCTAGAGATAGCCAATTTATCAGAATCCCTATCAAATATTTGCTCATATACACATCCTTTATGTTACAATGGCATTTACTCCTAAAGTCTTTTAACAATCAACATTTTTCCAAAAAAAAAAAATCATGGCATTTTATTGGGATGTTATACAACATAATCCTTTTCACATCTTTAATTTTGTTTGACATTTTGAAAATACTATGCCTAACTCGTTTGTGTGAATTTAAAAAACTAAAAAGCCATAATTAGCATGTAATCAAATACTTTTTCCTTCCCTTAAAAATTGACGCAAACACCAAAAACAAAATACTTTGTGTTTAAGCTCAGAGAAATGAAGCATTCTGCTTGTTTGGAATCTTAATGACTATCACCCCAAACTTACCTAATTAGAAGCTCTTTCATAACAAGGAAAATTATTGTCAGAGTTAATGAATTTGCAAACACAACCACCGCTGTCTTCCCATGATGAATTATCCACATTCTTCACACGCATGTTTTAGTTATACACTCTAATTAATATTAGTACTTAAAATATGTGGGATTATTTCACTGCTAAAGAAAAATCCTTTGTTTTTCAACAGTATAAAACCACTATCAGTCCCCTTCTTGTAGATACTAGGCTGCACATACAAGCTTAATTTTAGGTTTGGACAAAATGGAAATTATTTCATCAAAACTATTCATTTTGTTGACTTTAGCCACTTCAAGCTTGTTAACGTCAAATATCTTTTGCACAGATGAACTAATGATGTCCAATCTTCACAGCAAAGAAAATTATGACAAATATGCTGAGGTAAGATTTTTAAATCTATCTACCATGACTAGCATAAATTATATAGTATCTGCTCCGCCTCTAAAGATTTTGTTGGTAAGGAGTGAGTTATTTTGTGGGGTTCTTCTTGTCAAATTTCAGCTTTCCTTGGGCTGGCAGATGGCATGGTGGTTAAGGTGCTGGACTCCTACATGGCCGACCACAGTTCAAATCTTGGAAGTGGCGGCTTTCTCTCTCTCTCTTTCTCTTTCTCTCCCTCTCCTCTCTCATCAAAAATTAAATAACAATAATAAATAAATTTAAAAATTTTTTCAGCCTTCCTATGACAGTATATTGCTGTGACTTGTGTTATTTAGCATAGCAAGAAACAACCCGGCTTCTCTAATAATGATTAGTGTATTTGAGTATGAAGCTTAGAACTTAGAGTATGATACTTAACAGTCATAAGTACATTAATAATTTTCAGTTGACTCAGAAGTGCCCATTTGTAATAAGTAGTTGCAGAAATGAGACCCGGATACATTTTTGGCTGCACATTTGAATTGTCTTAAACTACAAACAAAAGAACACAACATTTGTATTTTCTACTTAGCAAATTCAAGCTGATAAGTATACAGTAAATCTATACCCAAGTAAAATGTTAATCCCTAGATGATAGAATTGCAAGTTAATTTTATTTTCTTTTTTATGTTTTTATATATTTTCCAGATTTGCTAAAATTATATGTATTACTTGTTTTACTCAAGTTATAATCCTAACACAATCATTTAAAAATTCTTATGTCCCAACATAAGATAATAACTAATGGTTGTGATGATGGTTATATTAATTACCCTGATTTAGTCATTACACATTGTATGCATGTACTGAAAAATCACATTGTACTTCGACAAATATGTAAAAAATATTAAAGCTTAATAAAATAAAAATCTTTACATGGGCAAATTTTCACAGTAAAACTAAATCTAATTAAATATTCACTGTATTTTAGATGGTTCCTATAAAATTGATATGTTTGTAGTGAGATAACCCATAAACCAATTGGTTCGTTGAAAATATAATTTATATAGTAATAAAGCAAAATTGATTCCTTGATAAATACTTTTAGGGTGGACCTCTGAGTATAAAAAAATAGCAATGAGGCCTCATGTACCTGTACACCAAAACCTGGCTAGCATCATGTTTTCATGTACCACTCAAACTCCAAACAGGGAAGAACTAAGATGGAAAAGGAGTGAGAAGTTTCTCTAAAATCAAAATATTAGGTCATCAGGAAAGTCATGAGGTATTTTTCTATGTTTTTCTATGGAAAAGTGCATCAAGACTTTCCCTT